AACGGCCAAACATGGGCCGCACGCCTAAGCGCCACCCTCTCTAGGGCCAACTGAGTGGACAGGTGGGTGTTGCGCACATATTAGCAGACTACGACTTTTATGACCACTTAGTTTGCTGACCATATTGAGCCACCCCTACTGTGGTATTTGGGATAACATGTGGTTTGCACTGGCAGGCCCAGAGGAGTTCTAGGCGGAGGCTGCAGCAACATGCTGTGTTGAGCAGCCGTCGGACTTGGGCATGTAGGCGAAAGACTAATCGTATCACTTACCGGTTGCGCACACCGGACAACACCGATCGCTCACGGGTGCTGGGATGGCGTTGAGGTGAGCAATAGAGTCGGGGGCAGCGCTGGGCTTGAGGCGACGGGTACAACGACGGGGGCAGAAAGGGCGGAGGGCGAAAGCAGCAGGCAAGCGAGAGTGGAATGAATCTGACCCGGAATCGCGCCAGGTGCAGTCCAAGTGGAAGACGAGAAAATGACTAAAATGGCGGAAGGGAAAGCGACTTCCTCACTCGTTCCTCCACGGATTTGAGTAAGGAAGGAGGCAATTCCGGGGTTTTGGGCCCGGGCGAACACGAATGGGAACTTAGTTTTCGAAGAGAATTAGTAAAAAGAGAGGTTAATAGAGAAAGTCGTGCGTGGGAGATGGCGGAAGCGAAGAAGATAGAGAGTGAAGTTTCTATAACTTGGTCATTTTTTTGACCGTTTTTAGAGTTTTAAAATGTTAGACTAGGGTTTTGGCGAGTTTGGCAATGGTGTTAGTTTTAGCAGTAGATGAGCAAAATGAGAGTAAAGAGAAGAATAAGGTGCGCGGAGCTATGGAGGAGGAAGGAAAAAGTTGGTGAGTTTAGGTCGTTTTCCCGACCGATCTAAGTGAGGGGAGGCTCTACACTATAAGGGCTTGGGGCAGGGCGACCTCGTTGGAGGAGGCGGAATCAGAGTTGGGGCAGCCGGTTAGTAGCAGCGAGTTGCAAGGGCTGCGTGCAGAAGGAGGAATGTCGACAGCGCTATGTACATCGCCGCTTCTTGCAAAAGATGCATTCGATTTCGTGCATCCTATCGATGGAAGCAGCGTGAAACCAGCGACAGGATTTGGAGACTTACCTAGTGCCTGCTAGCGGTAGAATCGCTCGACTTTGCTATCCGATAGGTGGAAAGAGCGTGAGGCCAGCCACGGGATTGGAGTTTGTAGGACGGTGCTAGTACTATGGGGAGAAAGGCTGCGTGATGCATGGGTGGACGGAAGCGGGAGCGAGAACCTACCTGAAAGCAGCAGCTGAACAGTGAATCCAACCGTGATGTAGTGGAAGATTCATTCTGATTCTGCTCACCCAGACGATCGATGTAGCAGGAGATAAGGCAGGGGTTAGAAACTTACCTGCTAGCCGGTGCGTTGCTCGACGTGGGAATGGAAGCAGCATCTCTCGATCTCGCTTAACTCATGCCATCGTCAATACCGTTGCTTGTCCATATTGCCGCAAGGGCGGAGATGCTGTTTTAGGCTATGGTCATATTGCTGCATCTGGCCCCGATTGCAACCAGATGCACGAAAAGCAGTTGGATATCTAGGGCGTGTTTAGGGGAGGTCTTCCTTATGAACAGACTGCAGTATGGTGGGTGACTTTACTGTAGTAGACCGTTCTATGTTCTCAATGAAAGGAGCCTCCATTATTGACCAGCGGGTGAGTGGCAACGTCGGAGTTGGCAGCATGGAGATATTTGTTTGCAAGTGTACCGTCAACCAACCACGACCGATTGTGGGGAGTTTAGATGTGATCGCACGTACGTGACTGTGGCATTGGTTCACATGCTAGACATCCGCTTACACCATGGTGGTTATTGCAGACGTTGGCTAGCTGGTCCATCACTCAAGTATTGGTTAGAGTGACCGTGTGATCAGTATTTTTTGGGCAGCGCTGAACTAGGCTCCCAATTCGTGCAGACTCTGAATTGCGATTAGCCTGTGTTCTTTTTTTTTTCACTATGATTCTTGAAATGCGCTAACAAGGCTCCTTTGCTTTTGGACAGCGGCGGGAACATTGTGTTTCGTGCACACACGTTTGCATGCGGCAAGTTGGAAAGAAAAGGAGTTCCCTTTGTGGCCACGTATTTAGCTGGAAGGTTTCGATCAGCCTGAGCATGTGAGATGCATGGTGCAGCCGTTTCTCTTATACCTCGGGCATCTCACGTTAGGGAGACTTTGCCGTGTGCGCATGAAGTTGTTGTTCATGCTGTCGAGCCTTGTCGCTGTGTACTGCGTATTTTTGCCTGCATTTCAAATAAAGCACAAGAGGGGGTGCTCTGTTTTGAGTGCAGTGTTTTTAGGCCTGCGTAGCAACAGTCTGGTCAGAGGTTAAAGCGTGGTGAGTTGAAGGGGTAATTAGGCTCGTAAGAAAAGAGGGGTGGGGGGCATTGCTGCGATTTGGAAGACCGTCAGGAGGTCAACATGCGGCATTTTGACCTCGGTTTGGCGGTATTACTGCGATCCTTGGCTGCCATTGCAAGGCCCTCAGGCGATGGAAGATAACAAGGCCCTCTCCTGCGAGTTGAGTCATTCCCTCTCCTGTATCTCGAGAGTCTGAAACCCCTCATTCAACCAGCGTATAAAATATGATATATTTACTTATAATATATCATTGGCAGGCTAGATGCTATAAGTTGGTAGATCTAGTCATGTAAGCCAGTAGCAGACAAAGCAGAGAAAAAAATAAGGTTCAGAGTATAGAATTGGAAGGTAACTTTGGGCAGGCTGACTCATCCAAAAGTTGGGTAGTCTGGTCTTATGCTCGTGACAACACAAGACGCATAGAGATAATATAAAACTTGGCTATATAAAACTCGGCTATTTTTCTAAACATAACTGGGGTTTGGTTGCGGATCTTCATAAGTTGATGTAACCCGACCATTCATCCGAAGAGAGAAAGAAGTTGTGATCTTACGTATTGAATGTGGTTGAGTTACGGAGGTTGGGCGAACCCAGAATTTGGGGGTTGTTCGGTCATACGCACTTGTTGCTTGTCTACGCGGGCTAGACTACTGATAAGTTGAGTAGCCTAGTTCTAAGTTATATGTCGTTGTTTGGGTTGGCTAGCCACACCATTAATTGGTGTGTCCTAGTTATATGCCTCTTGTCGTTTGTCCAGGCAAAGGTTGGACCCCTCACAAGTTGAGGTGGCTCAGTTATTTGTGTATGTCGAATGTTCAAGCTGACCAGTGGTGCGGCCTGGTCATATGCCTTATGTCAATCATTTAGGCAGAAGCAAATCACACCATAAGTTGGTGTGGTATAATTTTATGCCTTATGTTTATCTTGTTGAATGGGGTTGAGTTGCGAACGCGGGGCGAACCCATAAGTTGGGGGCTGTTTGGTCATTGCAGACTCTGATATTGCCCGTACAGGCCCTAGACTCGGACCGATTGGACTGGTACCTGCCTAGACCTAGCCTACAACTATTGGGCCTCTAAAAATGCCAACTTTGTCTTCTTCTGCTCAGCCTCGAGTACCCAGCACATCTACCTTTACCTGGTGTGGTACCGGCCTACCTGCTACTTGAGTGTTTTTCCGCTGCTTCAAGTGTCGCGGGCCTCCTTCCCCGCCACTTGAGTGTTTTCCCCGCTGCAACCCTCAATGCCATGGCCACAGTAAGTACCGCCCTTTGGGCCTTCCACATTGACAAGTACCCTCGTGGGTCACACACACACTCAAACCGACAAGCACTCATACAGGCATGCAGACCAGCAAGCACACACACACTCAGACTTAGAAAACTCAGCAACAAGCGGGAAACTCAGCAAGGCATACATAATACAATCCATTGGCAAAAGTCGGAAATCAGCTGTGTGTCTCAGCCGGTGTTTGGCAGGTCCTAACAACATAGGGAAATAGCTGGCAGAGATGAATAGCATTCCCGGCATAGATGAATAAGCATGGTGCTCCAAGAACGTATAAAAAGAGAAACACATAGAACAATACAGCACAACACTCTGTTTAGGTTCTTGCATAGAGGCATTGCACAGCACTTCATATAGGTGCCAACGAAACCACATAGAGAGAGTCAGAGAATCAGCATCGCGGTCCATGGAGGTCTGAAAACCACCTGATAGAAATATAGCAAAATACTGTGTGTGCATGTAAAGCATGGCTACGATCTGGACGTCCGGACCGCCGTCCAGACGGTCTGGATTCAGTCCGGACTCCAGACGTCCGGTCTGGAAGGTCCGGATCTGCCAAATTTCAAGAAAAAACAAAAAACAAAAAACGGTCCAGGTCCCTTCCCCATTGAGGAGCCAAGCCCCTAAAATTGTTTAGGGGTTTTTTCAGGCCTGTTTATGCTTTTTTATGGGGCTCCGGACATGCTCTCTCTCTATAATAATTTATTAGACAACCCCAATTTTTTAATTATTAATAATTCATTACCTTTTATTAGTTTTTTAAGCCTTTTTTTAAGTGTTTTACAGTTTTTGACTTTTAACGCAAGTTTGGTTAGGAATTCTGACATGACTCTGAGGCAAAAGTGGTTTGCATTGCTATTCTGCATAACATACTTTTTTTTCAGATTTTTATCATTGTTTTATTTTTATTTTTTTTAATGGTCCGGACATTTCCGGACCTGTACAGACATCCGGATCCCCCATTGTCTGGAGGTCCGGAAACTACAGGACATGGGTCCGGTTTCATGTCCGGAAATGTCCGGGTCCGGGTCTGGCGTAGCCATGATGTAAAGAGAACAGGGTACTTTCTTTTCAAAAAATGAAAAATTTGCGGCAAGTTTGCGCTTTGTTTTCAGTGATCAATTCACATGAATTCATTGGAGAGAAGTAAGTAAGAATAGGTAAACGTGTGAGCACTATTGCCATCTTTCTTTATTCACCAAGCGGATTGTGTGAGAAAAATAGAAAGGAGCGATAGGGAGGCTGTATATGTCATAAATAAATATAGTCATTATAATGGCCGGTGGACCACCATCGAATGCACATGTCTTCACCGGTCAGTACCTCCAACTTGGAACTGACGTCTATGCAGAGAATCCGATGCCCTGCAGGTGATTCACACTTTGCAAGAAGCTGCGCTCTCATTTGTTGCACCTTCTTGCCAAATGGTGGTTTGTCAGTAGAACCCGCATCCACGCCCGAGACATATTCACGATCAGCGTGCATCGTATGCATAGCCTCCATAGATTGGATCTGCCACCAGAGTATCTCCCCACGAGCGTTGGTTGAGAACGCATGCCTGGTATATTAAACACAATGTCCATTTGGTATCAGTTCAAGCACACACACACACACATGAGTCGGTGAAAGTTCAACGAAACAGTCTGGTACAGTCATGCTTTTTTCGAGTGTATAGCGAATATGACAACACACACACACACACACACACACACACACACACACACACACACAGAAGGATGGACGGACGGACCAACCGAACGACAGATCGATGGACCGACGGCCTGCCCACCCGCCCGAACGAGAGAGAGAGAGAGAGAGAGAGAGAGAGAGAGAGAGAGCTGTCTCTTATACACATCTAATGGGGGCGTTGATCACACCTTTGGCTTTCTTCA